CAAAAATTTTCTCCTAATTTGAATGAAATTTACTAAACACTCATTGTTTTGATTAAAGACATCCTATTGAATGAAGAACCTCTTAAAGGATTAATACTTTATTCTGCTATCACTCTTACCTTTGTAGAGTAGTTTATTTCCTCCTTATCTAAGCACAAAAAGCATGATATGGGTGGGAGAAGGAGGCACAATTTTTTAAAATTGTTTATTTGAAACAAGGTCATCCTCTGTTGCCCAGGCTGGAGTGCAGTGGCACCATCTCTGCTCACTGAAGCCTCTGCCTCTTGGGCTCAAGTAATCCTCCCACCTCAGCCTCCCAAGTAGCTGGGACTACAGGTGCACACCACCACACCTGGGTATTTTTTTTTTCAATTTTTTGTTGGTATAAGGTCTCACCATGTTGCCCAGGCCGGTCCTGGGCTCAAGCAATCCGCCCACCTCAGCCTTTTAAAGCACTGGGATTACAGGTGTAAGCCACCATGCTTAGCCAGGAGGCACAATTTTGGAGCAGAGAATGCCACAATTGGGCAGTAGGAGGGTACTGAGTAGTTTTTCTAGTTGAAGCACAGACAGGAGCTCTGAAAAGGGTCTGAAGCCTAATTTTACCTTTTAAAAAATTTTATATTATTTTTATATTAACTCTAATTTTAAAAGTATAAACACTGCATTTTGTTTCATAATTTATTTTCAAATGGTTTGTTTAATATACTGCAATTGTTAATGTCTCCTCCAAAGTGCATCTTGTAGAATGCAAAAACATCCTGTTAATGATAGGCTTTTGTCAAGAATGACAGCCTGTCATTATTTTCCTTTCAAATGAGAAAATGATATAACACCAAGTTATAAGAATGAAGCACAAATTATATTTCACAAAAAGCAGATAACTTTTACTTCATTTGGGAACGTAATTACAGTATTTCATATTTTCTCAAGTTTCACAAAAATGCCCTAAGTAATTAGCTCATATAGACACTAATAAATTGAAAGGGTTATTACATTTTTTTCTATAGCAGCTTTGCTTACAGAACATTATTTACAATTTAATAGCATTAAAAAATTTTGTGCAATGTACTTATTTAATGTAGCTCACTTAATGATTCAGGTAAAGTCAGAAGACCACTCTTGTGGACCTCTTATTTTAAAATCTTACTGTCTTGTTTCCTGCATCATAATGAATATCATGTTTTCTCTTTCCTTGGTAAACTTCTAGAAAACCTATTCTCTAAAATGTATTGCTTCACATAAAATATATTTCAGCCTTTTCTCCCTTGACTGTTCTGGTAAAATAACATTCTAATAGCTTCCACAATGTGAAGTTTTTACCATTTCTGTTTTGTTCTTCAGGCTGCAAATCTGCTCCACCCATCAAGAATTTTCTTTAGAATAAAGATAGGGCACTTTGCCAGGAACAGGGCAGGAACTGCAATTAATAGGCAAAGGTTAATGGTGAAAGTGACTTTACAGTAAGCAACAATGTTCAAATTGAGAAGAAGAAATCAAAATGCAAGATAAGCAAAGATTTTAAGAAAATACTCATCTGTTCCTAATTAGTTCGGGTTTTGTGACATGGATGAATTATATTTGTGAGGACTGAACAGTGTCTTTGAATAGAATTGCAGAGCCACTCTGGGTTATGTTTGAACACATGTACAGAGTAATAGGATAATGTACAAATGCCATTTCATGTATAAATTACCCATAAATTAAAACCGATGAACTTAATTTCGATACCAGACAAGATTTAGAATATATTATGAAAGAATGGTTTGCTAGGTTATATTAGACAAAACAACCCTTGGACCAATTTTATGTTCATGAGAGCAAGCATGTAGGCTTTGCTATTTCATTTTATGTAGGATTACTAGATCCAGGGACCATATTAGGCGTAGAATATATGGCCTTTATGAAAACATTTGACAAACTTTGTCATAATAGTCCTGAAGACAGTATGCAATAAATATAGGCTGGTAACAAAGATAATGGGATAATTTAATGATCAGATTAAGAGTTGTACCTGAAATGTACTGAATAATAGAACAGTAACAACCAAGGTGATATGACATGCAGTAGGGTTCTGTCCTCAACTTTGTCAATTCAACATTTTAAAATCAATGAGTTAGACAGATAAAATGGCTTATAAGGATCAACTTTGCAAAAGACATAAAACTTAAAATTTTCTGGATACCAATGGCAGTAACTAAGGCAATAATCAAAGGCAATAATTATGTCTAAGACATACATATCTGCGTTATATACTCAAATATATGAGTCTATATAATGTACTAATATACTAATAATCTAAGATAAGATGTATATTTTTATATATTTTATATATTTTTATATATTTACATTTATATCTGTAGTTTTATACTTGGATCTGAAATGCCAAATGCTCACATAATAGAATGGGAAGTGTTGGTTGCAAGGAATAGGTGGCTTCAGAGAGAAAAGAGAAAATAATAGAGGAAGATTGAGCATGAATTCCAAATGGCAAGTGGGACAGCCAGATCTCAAGAGGAACTGGTGAGGAATTGGAAGATTTTTGGCTATGTTAGTGGCTGATTCCTAATTATCTGTTTCTGGAGCTACAGTGTCCTCGTCTCAGCTTCTGTCTGTGTCTACTCATTCATCTCTCAGATTTTAGTTACATTACTTATTCTGTATCTTGTACATGACATTTTCTGTCTTATGGCTATGCCAAAGGTGACCTAAGTGCCTGAATCTTCAACAGTTTCAGGCCCAGTTGGCTCATCCCAGCTTGGGTTTGGTTCTTCTGGGTCTGATGTCCAATCCTGGTTCACCAAGTCAGCCATGGCTTAGGTAAATGGGTGGAGGGAGTCTACATTGCCAAACATCGCAGCTAGGCCTGTGGAAAGATTCTCTAAAATGAAAACATAGAAAGGAAATAATTGGTATATTCAGTATAATGAGACATTGGTTTGCACTGCAGTATTTTTAAAATCAGGGGTTTTATTTAACATAAAGCCAGTTAGAGTATATAACAGCAGAATATAATTGCTAAAAATGTGGAAGACCAATGAGATCTAAGGTTGCGTTAGAACATACTACAATGATATTAGTAATAAGATATTAGAATGAGAGAAGTTTGAGTCTTCTCTTATTCTATTTTAGTGAGACGAGCCACAGTAAACTATTCCATTCTGGGCACCATACTTTAAAACACATGTAGAACACTGGAAAAATTTTAGGGAAATCTTGAATGAGGAAGTAATTCACCTGAAGTAATTTTAAGTGTTGGCCTGGAGAAGAGAAGACATGGACTGTTCCTGATAGCTATCTTCAAATATTAGAAAGACCTTCATGTGAAAGAGGCTGGGGATGTCTTACATAGTTTCTAAATGGACTGGGATCTGTGCACAATTCAAGGTGGTAGATTTGGGATGAGGCTGAGAAAGGATTTCCTGAGAGACACAACTGGCAGAAGATGGAACAGACTGCTTTAGGAAGTAGTTTTCCTTCATTTGGGATGCTAAAATAAAGGATAGGCAACAACATATTTAGGTTAAATAGATTGATGCAATTGAATTCGTCTAGAGCTTGAACCAGGTTATCTTTATAATTACTTTTAAACAAGATGTTTAATAAATCTATACATTTGATAAAGTGGCAATTAGATAGTTGATATAGTCATCAATTGGTATCCTACAATACTGTATTATGGTTTTTAATTTAAAATATTTATTATTAAAGTTTAAAGGATCAAAATTTTACTTTATAAAAATGTGTTATTTTCTTCCAGTTGACATTTGTGTAATGACATTGGTAGGCAGATATGGTGGCATCACTGTTAGTTACAGAACAGTTTCTATAGTTTTAAGGGAGGTTACTTTAAGAGTAAATACTTCTTGGAGAGTTGGGGAGAGATAGCATGGGGAGAAATGCCAGATATAGGTGATTGGGGGGAAGGCAGTAAATCACAGTGTCATATGTGTACCTATGCAACAATCTTGAATGTTCTTCACATGTACGCCAAAACCTAAAATGCAATAAAAAAAAAGAGTAAATACTTCTTGGGTAATCCAAGAGTTAATTTCAAATTTAGTGCCCTGGATCAAGTATTTTATGAAGCCATCTCTTATCCCTTGTGAATAGGAAAATGAGCAGAGGCTACTAATAAATATTTATACCTGAAACAGAGAAAAGAATTATCTCCCTTCTAACTTGGCTAAATTACATTTTTCACTGGCCCTATGCTGTCCAGAAGTCATACAACACTTTATCTGAAGGGAGGAAGAGAAAATAGCCAATATACATGTGATAGATAAATATAATACAGATGGATAAAGGCACAGGTGCTGGTTTTAAATAGACCTGAGTTTTAATCCCAGCTTCTCCACATATTAGCCAGTTACTTAATTTCAATAGTTTCAATGTTTTAAAAAATATATATAAAATGTGTATAACTAGACCTACTAAGAACTGACTTAGGGAGAAGAGATTAGATTCAAAGTATTTTTCCTGTTTGTAGATTTATGACAGAATGTTAAATTCTGTAAAAATCATAAAATGCCAAAACTGAACAGAAACAGTTCATTTAGTGTGATGCCATAATTTTACAAATGAGGAAAATAAGATCTGAAAAAGCCATGGGAACAGAGCCGTTTGCAATTAAAGAACAGTGATTTCCTCCCACTTTTTGGAAAACTCATCTTAAAACCAGAATTATAAAGATTATAAATTTTTCTATTTTTAGTTTTATTTTATGGAAAATATTTCAAGAGTAAATTTTTCATAGAGATTACATGGAGAAACAATTGCTCTGAAAGATCTTTTTCTAATCCCAAGATTTTGTGTCAGACTCAATATGCCAGTTTTAAATTTTTTTTATATAAATGTGGGCAATGTCATTTATTGCTCCAAGGCATAGTATGCTGTATATTTACTTCATTCACCCAGCATGGTTACAATATCTTCAGTTGAACTTCATTTTTCAGGACCAAAAAAAAAAAAAAGATAGTAAGTGTATGTTCTGTTTCTAGATGTTGCCTGAAGACAAAGTTTGTAAGTACTGTGGAGTCAGCTATCTAATTCTTCATGAATTTAAGGCCATGGAAGAAAAAGTGAAAGCAATGGAAAAAGAAATGAAATTTTATCAAGGAAGTGTAGAACGTGAAAAGAGACTTCAAGAAAAAATTAAGTCTCTTAGCCAAGATCTTGAACAGTACAAAACTGACAACAAATCCAAAACGGAAAGGTTAGAGTATGTTTTTCTTTTTTATCATTTATTTAGTTGAAAGAAAACTATAAGAAATAAGCAGACTTTGAATGTTATTCTAAAATTTCTTTACATCAGGTATAATTTATGCTTCAATATATTTGTTCCTTAATTATATTAATAATTACTAAATATAATTGTTATAGTTTGATTTCTTTAGAGGCATGTATTTACTGTCTGAAAAACTAGAAACCAATTAATTTATTAACCATAATCTGAAATGTTCAAGTTTTTTCCCCAGGTACATATCTTATGTTTTATTATTAGGAAAATTTATCTACCAAAAATCAGATGAATTTTCGTAGTTTTTCATAAATTTATTTTTAAATGGCTTTGAATTTTTAGATTTATAGGGTAAGGCTTTCATGTTTTAGAAAAAGATGCCAAGACATTAAAATTAGTATATGATTTTAAATTAATGGAATTGGAAAAAAAATAAAGATTAGGCCTCTAATATTGTAGAATCTAATCAGCAATCTAGTCTTCCTAAAGACACCTCAGTGAGCCTATACAGACATTTATACAGAAGAGCTTTTGCTCCTGTTTTATAGTTTTTCCTGTTAATGAAAAATTTCTTCATTTAAAGTATTCACTGTTGATGTTCAGACACCTTGAGTTAATGAATTTAGTGAGTTACATGTATATGTAAAGTGGAAACTTGCTTAAATCTCTTCAGATTAAATACTTTTATTAAATTTTACTATAAATTGTTATATAAAAGTATATAATTACATTAAATGCCAGTTGAACCAGATATTTCTTAGTCTTTTACCAAAAAAATTATGTTTATAGTTTCTTTAATTTCAAATCTGAATAATATTTTATGATATTTTCATGGAAGAACTTAAAAATTTGAAGTACTGTTTAAAATTTCTAATTTAGATAGTGTTTGCCTGTCAGGGAGTCTTTTGTTTGGTATATTCACACTTTATTTTCTTTAATAAAATTTAAATAAAATGTTGCATTATACATGCAATACATAAACATACGAAGTAAAAGAAGTACAGAAAATAATAAGACAAGAAAGTCTTTGCACCCTGCTGATTGTACTATTACTGGTACCTTGCTAATTGTGCTGATTGTATTCTTACTGGAGGTAAAAAATCACTATTTTTTATTTTCATTTTTGAAAAGGAACCTAGCTCTGTACGCAGGCTGGAGTGCAGTGGCTTGATCTCAGCTCACTATAACCTCCGCCTTCCAGGTTCAAGGGATTCTCTTGCCTCAGCCTCTCAGGTAGCTGGGATTACAGGTGCACACCACCACCCCTGGCTAATTTTTTTTTTTATTGCATTTTAGGTTTTGGGGTACATGTGAAGAACATGCAAGATTGTTGCATAGGTATACACGTGGCAGTGTGATTTGCTGCCTCACCTATATCTGGCATTTCTCCCCATGCCATCCCCCCACCAACACCCCACCCCACACTGTCCCTCCCCTATTTCCCTCCGACAGGCCCCAGTGTGTAGTGCCCCCCTCCCTGTGTCCATGTGTTCTCATTGTTCAACACCCACCTGTGAGCGAGAACATGCGGTGTTTGATTTTCTGTTCCTGTGTCAATTTGCTGAGAATGATGGTTTCCAGGTTCATCCATGTCCCTACCAAGGACACGAACTCATCGTTTTTGATGGCTATATAATATTCCATGGTGTATATATACGACATTTTCCCTGTCCAGTCTATCATCGATGGGCATTTGGGTTGGTTCCAGGTCTTTGCTATTGTAAACTGTGCTGCAATGAACATTCGTGTGCATGTGTCCTTATAGTAGAATGATTTATAATCCTTTGGATATATACCCAGTAATGGGATTGCTGGGTCAAATGGAATTTCAATTTCTAGGTCTTGAGGAATCGCCACACTGTCTTCCACAATGGTTGAACCAATTTACACTCCCACCAACAATGTAGAAGTATTCCTGTTTCTCCACATCCTCTCCAGCATCTGTTGTCTCCAGATTTTTTAATGATTGCCATTCTAACTGGTGTGAGGTGGTATCTCAGTGTGGTTTTGATTTGCATTTCTCTAATGACCAGTGATGATGAGCATTTTTTTATATGTTTGTTGGCCTCATGTATGTATTCTTTTGTAATGTGTCTATTCATATCCTTTGCCCACTTTTGAATGGGCTTGTTTTTTTTTTTTTTTTTCTTGTCAATCTGTTTTAGTTCTTCGTAAATTCTGGATATCAGCCCTTTGTCAGATGAGTAGACTGCAAAAATTTTTTCCCATTCTGTTGGTTGCCGATTCACCCTAATGACTGTTTCTTTTGCTGTGCAGAAGCTGTGGAGTTTGATTAGGTTCCATTTGTCTATTTTGGCTTTTGTTGCCAATGCTTTTGGTATTTTGGTCATGAAGTCCTTGCCTACGCCTGTGTCCTAAGTGGTTTTGCCTAGATTTTCTTCTAGGGTTTTTATGGTGTTGGATCTTATGGTTAAGTCTTTAATCCATCTAGAGTTAATTTTAGTGTAAGGTGTCAGGAAGGGGTCCAGTTTCTGTTTTCTGCACATGGCTAGTCACTTTTCCCAACACCATTTATTGAACAGGGAATCCTTTCCACATTGCTTGTTTTTGTCAGGTTTGTGAAAGATCAGGTGGTTGTAGATATGTTGTGTTGCCTCTGAGGCCTCTGTTCTGTTCCATTGGTCTATATCTCTGTTTTGGTACCAGTACCATGCTGTTTTGATTACTGTAGCCTTGTAGTATAGGTTGAAGTCCGGTAGTGTGATGCCTCCTGCTTTGTTCTTTTTGCTTAGAATTGACTTGGCTATGCAGGCTCTCTTTTGGTTCCATACGAAGTTTAAGGTGTTTTTTTCTAGTTCTGTGAAGAAGGTCATTGGTAGCTTGATGGGAATAGCATTGAATCTGTAAATTACTTTGGGCAGTATGGCCATTTTCACGATATTGATTCCTCCTAACCACGAACATGGAATGTTTCTCCATCTGTTTGTGTCCTCTCTTATTTCATTGAGCAGTGGTTTATAGTTCTCCTTGAAGAGGTCCTTTACATTCCTTGTTAGCTGTATTCCTAGGTATTTTATTCTCTTTGTAGCAATTGTGAATGGCAGTTCATTCTTGATTTGGCTCTCTTTCGGTCTGTTATTGGTGTATAGGAATGCTTGTGATTTCTGCATGTTGATTTTGTATCCCGAGACTTTGCTGAAGTTGTTTATCAGTTTCAGGAGACTTTGGGCTGAGATGATGGGGTCTTCTAGATATACAATCATGTCATCTGCAAATAGAGACAATTTGACTTCCTCCTTTCCTATTTGAATACCCTTTATTACTTTTTCTTGCCTGATTGCTCTGGCTAGAACTTCCAGTACTGTATTGAATAGGAGTGGTGAGATAGGGCATTCTTGTCTAGGAATTCATGTCCTTTGCAGGGATGTGGATAAAGCTGGAAACCATTATTCTCAGCAAACGGACAGGAGAACAGACAACCAAACACTGCATGTTTTCACTTATAAGTGGTTGTTGAACAATGAGAACACATGGACACAGGGAGGGGAACAGCACACAGGAGGCCTTCTTGGGGGGTGGGGCGCCAGGTGAGGAATAGCAGGGGGTGGGGAAATTGGAGAGGGATAGCATTAGGAGAAATACCTAATGTAGATGACGGAGTGATAGGTGCAGCAAACCACCATGGCACGTGTACGCCTGTGTAACAAACCTGCACGATCTGCACATGTACCCCAAAACTTAAAGTATAATAATAAAAAAATAAAAATAAATTTTGATGAATATTATACCAAGTAGTCCTTTGAGAAGATAGCATTAACTTACATTTGGCCAATAGTTGATGAAGTGACCACTTTCCTACATTTTGTTAATGTATCTCTTGAGTGAAAAATGTTACCTCATGGTTATTTAATTAGCATAACTTTTTTTGCCAATGAAGCTAAACAGTTTTTTTCATGTTTATTAGTAATTTACGTTGATTACCTACATACATCTATTGCCCATGTTGTTGGGTTATTTACTTATTTTTGTTTATTTATAGAAGCTTTAATATAATATTGGCATTATACTTTTTAAATATATGTTGTTAATATTTTCTCATTGTTGCTTGTCTTTTCACTTTGTTTATTGTATTTTTTTTTTTGCTTTATCTTTTAAAAATTTTAATTATATTCTGTGCCAAATTCTGGTCAGTTAGAGTTCTGTGTAAAGTTCTTTTAATTGCAACCAACAGAAACTTACTGTGACACAAACCTAAACACAAAAGAAAACGATAGCTCATTGAAGGAAAGGAAAAACTCAAGAACCTTGGCTTTGGAAAAGGACTAGAAACAGAGCTCATTCAGGGATATGGGAAGTCTGGGGTAAATTCACTCAACTTTTTCTTTCTTGCATCATTCCCTTCAAGATTCAAATCCCGGAAGAGAGCATCTCACTGGCTTTATTTCTTTTATGTGACCACCTTCCAATTCCACCCCCTTAGCCTGATGAAGGGGGAACCTTGATTGATAGTTCTGTAAAGACTTCATACAATGAAAGCAAAGACATTCACCAAAAAGAAGTTAGAGTATTGTTATCAGAAAAAGGGGGAATAGACTCAGGCAAGTAAAAACAACAACATATGTTTAAAACTTACAGTATTATTGTATTAGGATTTTTAATCTATTTAGTATTAATTTTGTATATAATTTGAGGTAGATTTTCAATTTCATGTTTGTTGTTTCTCAGATGTCTGGCTTATTGGCCCAGTATCACTTACTTATTAAATTCTTCATCCTCTCTCCCTTGACTTGAAATGTCACTTACTAATTTTTCTTCTAGCATATTTCTGGATACCTGTTTTGTGTTATTGATTTATTGTCTATAAATGAGTCAGGGCCAAACTTTTAATTACTTTAGCTTTATAATATGTTTTGACATTTTGTAGGACAAGTGTTTGATTTGCCATTAAGTTACCCTCGCTTTTTAGTATATTTTCTTTTCTGGATGAACTCTACAATCAGCTTGTCAGATTCCAT